TCCAAGAACGCCCCGCAGACCTCATGGCCTTGAGCTTCGCAAAGCCCCCGAAGCCACCAGTGGAAGTTCCAATCGGTCCTGGAAGAGAACCCCCGAGCCCTGCAGTTGCTTTAGATTGTGCTTATCACGGTCTTCGGTTAGTTGCTGAGCAGGCTCGCAGGTCAGACCCCCAGAGGCATTTGAACACTTTGTACGAGCAGTTTGCCAACCTCGCAGAGCAGGAGGTTGCACTCAGCCGACGCACCCTACTATCTAGATATGGTGCTCGTGGCATGATTCCTCGTCTCATTCGGGTGTCGACGGCTGAGCTGGATACCAAGGAGTCGAAGGGGCATAGCCCCGACTTGTATGCCTTCCAGTGGCTGTCCCGGGAGTTCCGTGCTTGTTTATCCGACATCTACGAAAAGCATGCGATTGGGATCCATGGGGCTTGCATTCTGGGTCCTCCCTCTCGGGTTGCAGGGCATCTCTCATCTTGTGAAGAGGTTTACGTCATGGCTTTCACATTCGTCCAGGGCTTCTCCATTGGCGAAATCTCGGACCTCGATGAGGGCACGTACATCCCCGATGAGATTGAGCAGGCGCCCAACAAGTTTGCCGACACAGTACGGCGCAGGTGTTTCCAGGAGTGGCGAGCTTGGCTTCTCGATGGTATTTCAAAGGGAGGGGGGAGGGCTCACAAGTGGACGCGGGAGTGCAAGCCTTGGAAGGCCACCGCGACCCTCTCGCGACACGGACACATGGTTTCAGATCCTCTCTCCCTTCTTGAGACGGAGGCGGCAAGGTTCCCTAAACTATGGTGTGCGGAGAGTGAGCCTGATCCTCGACCTTCTCGTGTCAAGTTTTTGGATCCCTTACCTCGCCTCCGCCCGGATGGTATTCGGAAAATCAGCCAGTCATATTTTCCGCACGCTGCCGTCAGCATAGACGGCTTTGCGATGAGGCATTTTGCCAGTCTTTCAGACGGATGCCTGGAGTATCCCAGCATTATGTTCTCCATCATCGAGAGTACTGGAGTCCTACCCCACCATGTGAGTGTTCTTCAGCTTGCACTTCTTTCCAAGCCCGCTGGGGGGTATCGGCCCATTGGGCTCTCCAGCAGTTGCTATAGACTATGGGGGAGGGCCAGGATATCAATAGCTTCGGATTGGGAACGTCGTCGTAGTCGTCCTTATCTTGCTGCGTCGTCCTTCAACGGCGCGAGTGACGTAGTATGGAGGCAAAGTCTTCGCAGTGAACTTGGAGTGCGCACAGGACAGGTTGCAGCAACTGGTTTGTGGGATTTGATGAAGTTATACGAAGGCATGCGGCTAGATCTAGTAGAAGAGCGTGCAGCGCTTCTTGAATTTCCAGAACAGATATCTCGAGGATGTATCGCAGCGTATCGAGGAGCTCGCTTCATCACCATCGCGTCGATCTCAACTGGCCCGCTCTATTCAGTAAACGGCGTCGTAGCTGGATGTTCGATGACAACAACATTCGTACGCATATACGTCATGCCAGTGTTCGACCCGATCGACATACCACGCTCGATCATACTCGACATTTACATCGACGACTACGGCATATCGTCGGTAGGTTCGGAAGTGGTTGTCAGGCAAGAACTGAAGGAGTTCACCGCTGTAGTCATGCAGGCTGTCCAGCTCGATATGTGCTGCGCTGTCGCTGAAGATAAAGCTGCAGTGGTTGCATCTAACTCTCGATTGGGAAAGTCGCTCGCTCAGTTTCTCGGCGTCTTCGGCGGCGACGGCTCCTCTCAGGCCGCCGCCAACCTGGGCGTCGATGACACAGCCGGCGAGGCCCGAAGGATGAAACATCGTTCTAAGAAGGTTTCGGATAGGAAGAAAACCCTGGCGGCCAGGGTCAGGCGTTTCAAGAAAGCTCGGGAGGCTCTTGGAAAGCAGTCCAGACAAATCTTCATCTCGGGACCGCTTTGTGGGGCCGGGTATGGTTCAGAAGTTCACGGTACTTCCAGATTCTGAGCTCAGAGCTTTACGGAGAAGTTTCAGTAAATGCGTGAAGCCCTCTGCTGGTTCCAGAAGTTTAACATCCCTAACGATCTTGGAGCACGACCCGTGCTATTGCGCTTGCGTGGCCCCTGTTTTTAGGTTGGCCAAGGAGGTTTGGCTGAATCAGACCAGGCAGTATGAATATGCAGTCCCTTTTAGTACACTTCGACGAGCTTGGGAATCAGCCTTCGCTGGTGAGGTACCCACTTGGCGCAAGGTGACAGGTCCTCTTTCTGCGGCGCGAGCTTCTCTTCACCGCATTGGCTGGACTATGCCGAGCTTCACCGTATTGCAGACGGACCAGGGAGTTCAAATAGGTTTAACCACCACCAGCCCAAAACTCGTGAAAAAGTTTCTCCGGGAAGGGGTTTTGAGGCAGCTCCAGAGGCAGTCTGCCAAGTCCCATGGTCTCGAAGACGGGTCCAGGGTTTGCGTGGATATCTTTCTTCAGGAGCTTAACTCCAAAAAATGGGATGCTTTCCAGAAAGGTTGCATCAGGTCTTTTGCGTGCAACGCCATCTGGACAGGTCCCCGCGCTCAGGAGGCAGGATACCTGCTGGACAACGTTTCCTGCCCGATGTGTGGCGGACCAGACAGTATTTTCCACCGGTTGTGGTGCTGCCCTGCCGTCAGCGAGGTCAGATCAGAAGAGGTGAAATCGTCGATCATAGAACGTGCTGTGGCAATGCGGCCTGATGATCCCGACTGGCTCTTGTTCTTGACAGGGCTCTTCCATCATCCTGGAGATGTGGTTCTTCCCCCTACCATGGAAGGTGGCATGGTGGTCAGGTGGATAAGCGATCCCTTCTCTGAGGCTACGGCCATCGAAGGCCAAGTATTTTTTGACGGTTCAGGGCTAAAGAGCCCCATTCCTGAATTGTGTCGTGCTGGCTGGGGGGCTAGTGTGTGCGATGATAATGAGGCTCTTTCGTGCACCCTTGAGGGCCCTGTTTCGCGGTGGCTCCCCCAAACCTCCCAGGCGGGTGAGTTTTGCGGGCTCGGGGCCACCAATGAGCTTTTGAGTGGGCCAAGTGTTGGTCTCTCTGACTGTGAGAACGTTGTCAAGGGTTTCAATGCACCCGTATGTGTTCAGCTTAGCTATAAAAAGCTGTATGCGGGCACGCTGCTCAATATGGCTAATTCTAGGTATTCTCGTGTCCTGAAGGTCAAGGCGCATGCTTCCGGCGAGGGCCTCACATATAAAACTGGTAATGATGAAGCGGATCTGGCGGCTAAGAGGGGAGCCCACCTACACCCCTCTCCGAGCCAGGCCGTATCCGATAATATTCAGTATCAGATTTCGGTCGCTCGGGCAGTGATTCGTTTAGCCGCCCGCGTGCTCCCCGAGTGGCCACGTTTAAATTTGGATGGAGTCCCTCGTGTTGCAGGGGCGGGTCGGAAGAACCCCCCGGGCCCTGAGCATGAGTGGTCTTGGTGCAACAGTTTTTGGAGGTGCCATGTTTGTTTGACTTCCAGCCGGAAGGAGCAGAAGCCTCCCCTCCGTGGTTGCCGTGGCTCCCCACCTGAGAGGGTCATGGAGATCACCCGCCATAAGCATAAGCTGGTGCTTTTTTCGAGCACGGATGGCACCCTTATATATGCGTGCAGCAGGTGCTATGCGTACACATCGGGAGGGCAAGTCAGGAATCTTTCAAAGGATTGCCTTGGTGCCCCCCATAGCAATGGAGCGGTTCAGACCTGGAAAGATTTATGTCGGGGGAAGCATCCAAAGCTCCCGTCTCTGAAGGTTGAGCCCTTTTCCCTGCGAGAGTGAGCTTGCAGGCATCACCCTGGTGGGAAAGTCTCTCCCCTCTCGGAGGTAGAATAGAATATATTATCTCTTTCATCCTCCTCCTCTCTCTCTCTCTCTCTCTTTGCCTCCCTCCACCTCCTCCTCCTCCTCCTCTTCCTCCTCCTCCTCCTCATCTGCCTCTCTCTCCCTCCACCTCCTCCTCCGCCTCCTCCTCTTCCTCCTCCTCCTCCTCCTCCTCGTCCTTCCTCCACCTCCTCCTCCTCCTCCTCCTCCTCCTCCTCCTCCTCCTCCTCCTCCTCCTCCTCCTCCTCCTCCTCCTCCTCTCCTCCTCCTCCTCCTCCTCCTCCTCTCTCTCTCTCTTCCCTCCCGGAGGTATAATGTAATATAATCTCTCTTCCTCCTCTCTCTCTCCTCTCTCTCTCTCCTTCCTCCCTCCCTCCCTCCCTCACTCCTTCCCTCCTCCTCCTCCTCCTCCTCCTCCTCCTCCTTCCCTCTCTCTCTCTCTCTCTTTCGCCCTCCCTCCCTTTCGTTTGCGCTTCTTTCGCGACAGGGCCCCATTCGAGCAGGACGGGCCTCTGCTAGGGGTTGCGGGTGTCGGGCTGGGGTGGGTTGGGAGGGGAGTTCCTCTTCTAGTCCCCCATCCGCTCGCCCCTCGTCCGTCTTTCCCTCCGTCCCTCCACGCTGGCCTTTCTTCAGTAGTGACGCTGCGGCAACGGGGTGCGACGTCGGTCAGGTTGGGCTGGGCAGGGGGTCTCCTCTATTCCCCAAGGAGGGTCTCCGTTCCCCCTACCTGACTGCTGGTCTGCTGTGGTGCTTAGCGCACGCTTTTCTGAGGGCGGGGGCTGGGGGACAGGGCGAAGCCCCCAGCAGTTAAAATGCGGACTCCCTGCCGGCCGATCCCACTCCTCGCGGCCGCTGTCCCCTCCATCGCGGGCTTTCCTGGCACGAAAGGTGGCCATGGACCTGCCCGCCTAGAGGCACTATGGTCGGTGTGGGGATGTTCCGTCGCGGAGGCCTTCTCCTGCCAGGCCAGCCTCACTGGAAGCATCCGTGCTTGATGATGCGAACGCCGCCTTATGGGCCATCCCCAGCCAACCCTCCTCATCCTCTTTCTCTTCCTCCCCCTCCTCTCTCCCTCCTCCTCTCTCTCCCTCCTCTTTCTCTCCCTCCTCCACCTCCTCCTCCTCTTCCTCCTCCTCCTCTCCCTGCGAACCGCGGCTCCTCCCTCGAGCTGCGAGGTTCGACCGCGTGCCCACGGCGTCGTCGGACGCCGCGCTTGGAGACGAGCCGCTGGTCACCGCCACTGCGGAGTAGAGGAGGGGTCGGCGACTCGTGAGTGTGACCCTTCGCCCGAGTGACCTTTGGTGGGGGCCACAGCGGTCCCCCAAGTCGTTGTCTGGTATCCCACCCCGAACCAAACCTTCGGATCGGTTTGGGAGGTCGCCGCGGCGATCGCGGTGGCCATGCATCGGGGGGCTCAGTATTACCTATACAAGCGACGGAGTGTGGCCGATGTGTGTTCAACATTGGCGGTCCTGTTCATGAATTGTGGCGGGTGATCACGTGACCATCCAGCACTGGCTTGTCCTGGGCCCCCCCCCCGCGGTCCCCTGTAGCCGCGCAGCAAAGGTCACGCCTGCCCAGGGTCACTCTTGCGTGTGGGCGGGGAGGGCCTCCTCTCTCTGCCTGCCCAGGCGTGCATCTTTAGGCCCCAGACCCCCCCTTCGCGTCGTGAGAGAAACACGGCGGAAGCTTCAACTTTTGTTGTTGTTGTTGTTGCTGCTGTTGCTGCTGTTGTTGTTGTTGCTGCTGTTTTCGGCCTCTGGGGGCCCTTGCCTGGCCCCAGAGCCGTCGAAAAGCGGGTCTCAGGATGAACCGCAGGTCCCGTGGAACGGGTCGAAGCCTTTCGGGACCACGGCGGTGAACAAAATCATGGCGTCGGTGGTTTGGGAACCATGTGATCCGAGTAGATGGGGTCGAAGGATCGCTCCGCATGGCCGATACATCTGCGATGCGGCTCGATGGGGGGCCCGACTTTCTCCATGCCGACGGCGTCGATGCATCCCCGACGTCGCCGATGCATCGGCGATGCGGCGGAACCCTTCGACCCCATCTGCTCGGACCTCAGTTTTGGAGGCCTCTAGTGTTGGCGGGAGGCGTGCATCGGAAGAACGAGGGGGGGTGAATCGGGAATAGAGGGCGGTTGGGACGCGGGAGGGTAGGGCGAGGGCAAGACGTGGCCAGCCTTCGGACGAGGGGATGATACCTATATCGCTTTCTGCCCCTCGTCGCCACGGCTGCTTTCGCTTCGTGATCCTTGTCAGAGGGCGCCCCAGCCAAGCTCCGAGAGCAGCGGTATCGGTATCTTTTTGTTCGCCCAAGCCTGCCAGGGAAGGGGCATGGCGCGTGGGGGACGTGGGCGGTGCAGCATCCCTGGGCGATAGGAGCTCAGGGTTAGGATGAAGGGTGGGCGGGGACGAGAAGGGAGAATGTGAAACAGTTGGAAGCGACGGGCGGCAGCTGCGCAAAGCATAATGAAATTGCGATGGAGAGATGGCTCGGGAAGAGGTCGAACATCCATGAGGGAGTATCGGAGTTCAGGGGGAGAAGGGTATGGTGTGGGAGACTGGGGCAAGCACGTGAGCGGAGGGGCGATTCTCCTCAGGACTTTTCTGGACAGGACACCACTGAGGGACCTCGGCCAAACCCAGCGGCCTCTCCAGATTCATGTCTTCCCCACCCCACGTTGACACGTGGACGAAAGGCGAAACGCATGTTTGGAGCCCCCCAAGAAGTCGACAACCAGTCGGATCGCACGCATTCAGGAATCCTGTCGTATGCATGTCTCGTTCTAGATGTCCATAACGCTTCGACGGAGGGCCGGTCCAGCTTCCCAGGGTTGCCCTGACTCTCGAGCTCTGCCTCCGCTTCTTCCCGACGGCACCGAAGCACGAAAGCCGCGGCGAGGCACTGAATTAATCAGAGGAGGAGGAGGAGGAGGAGGAGGAGGAGGAGGAGGAGGAGGAGGAGGAGGAGGAGGAGGAGGAGGAGAAGGAAGAGGAGGAGGAGCAGCAGGAGGAGGCCTCCCCTCCCCCTCCGCACATCCTCAGGCGTGGGAAGCCCCCCGCGCCGGGCCGTGCCCCCGCCGCCGGGGGCGCCGCCCCGGCGCAGCCCTCGGGCGCCTTCGGGGGGCGGTCGGGATCCCGAGCCCTGGCCGAGTCACGAGCCCGCCGCGCCGCGCGCCTGTCGGTCCGCGGGGGCAGGGCCCGCCCAGGCCGGCGCTCGCGGGAAGCAGCGGCCAGGCCCCCTTGCAAACGGGATGTTGGTAAGCGGGGTGGTGGCTAAGGGGCCTCCACGAGCGAGTACGGGGTGATTGGGGCATTTGCCTCGCACTAGTGCGCGATAAATCGGGACGACGAAATCGTCGATACATCATCATGACTCTGGGCGGGGGGGATTACCTCGCTCTTGTGCGCGGCAAGTCGATTTTTCGAAGGCACAATTGAAAACGCACCCTTAGCTACCACCCCGTTTACGAACACCCGGTTTGCAGGGGCTTGGAGTCGACTCGTGGCAGCACGATTGGAGCCTCGCGGTTGTTCGCCGCTCTCCTCCCTCCTCGGGGCGCGCCATGGCTGGGCGTAAGCGCCGAGGCTGGGAGTGGGCGCCAAGGCTGGAGTGGACGAAGTTCCCGGGACTGCATGCGTACATGCTGGGACGGAGACAGGCTACACAAGATCTGGCGCCTGTATCCTCACGCTTGGAGACGGCGATTGAGGGAGCGTCGTGGGTAGTGTATGCGTGTGCGCGTGCCGACGCGCCTTGGGCGTACGACTTCTGTCTGTGTCGTCCTCCCCCCCACAAAAAGGATGATCCGCTGCGCTGCGCCCTCGCAGCGTGCCCAGCTCCAGCTCCTCCCCCGCAGCCTACTCCCGGCACCCTGCTCGGGCCGCTTCCCCAGATCGCCGGTCTTCGGGGAACGCAGAACGTCGGATGCTTAGATGTTGACACCAGCATCAAAATCGATAGTGTGCCCCTGCTCCGCCGGCAGCCGCCGCCGCGTGGGCCAGATCCAGCCCGCGAGGCGAGACCTGCCCACAGCCCCAGCGAGGGGGCAGGTCACCCGCCCTGCTCCACAGTGTGGACGCCTCCCTACACCAGGGCGCTGCCCCGACCCCTGTTGCCCACCACGCGGCCGGGGGCATCCTCACCGACCGCCCAGACCTTGCGCCACCCCCATGCTCAAGCCTCGTCAACAGGAGCGTCGAATCCCTGGAAGCGGGCACAGCGATCCTCCCAGACGGCCAAGAAGGGAGGGCTCATAGTACCATTGCGCACGTCATGGTTCATCACGCCCTGGCGCTGCACCACAACGTTGACGAGGCCTGGCGGGTGTAGATTGACTCCCTACCGGACCAGCACTCACCCTCCCAACAGGCCACCCCGCGGGACCCAAGGGCCTGGACGGAAGACGACTGTAAAGGCTTCCTCGCGCGCATATACGGCACCACCATCCTCAACAGCGGGATCCCAGAAGGAACGCAGTGGGACGGGAGATGAGCTGCCTTGGCGCACCTAGTCGCCTACCTCCGAAGGCAAAAGACCCAGCCCGCCGAAGGCAAACAGGAGCAAGTGGCAGATCTGTGGAACGCCCTCCGCCTGAACACTCACTGGCAGGCTCGCGATATAGGCCAGGATCCCAACCGGGTGCAGCCAGGAGTTCTTCCTCGGCTTCCTAGCCTCTTTGGGAATCCGAGACCTACAGTCCCCGATGCTGGCCCGCTACGACCCGAACGCGGCTGCCCATCCCAGCACCATGCCCAACCACAACAAAACCAGGGCAGGCCCCCCCCCGGCAGCGTTCAACATTGACGCACCACACGGCGACCAAATCGACACCACCCTGGGGGAGGCCAGCAGCTCCGCCGAAGGGCCCGCCGCGGGGGCCCCCACCCCTCGCAGCCCCAAGCACCCGCCCCCCCGCTGAAGGGCTCACCCGGGGTGCCGCCACCCTCCCCGCCAAGAACCACCATCCGCCCACGCCGTTTCCCCCGCGCAGTGAAATCGATTTCGGCGACTCCTGCGATCCTGCGCCCCCCGCCAGCCCCTCCGCCGCCGAACGTGAGCACTCTCCTACCCCCCCGCCCGAGCAAACCTTCACCACTGCGGCGAGGGGCCCACACGGGCAGAGGTACGCACTCTAGGCCACCAGCATGAAGTCACCATACATACCAGCCCAGCCACAACTCCACATGCCCCGCCCTCCCAGCGGCCACCCAACGCGCCCAGCGCGTACCCTGGGCGGGCCCTGCGGGCACTCACGCCACCAGCCTGCCCCACGTCCAGCTCCTGCCGACTTGGTCCTCTCCTGAGCCTACGGCGGCTCGTGCCGCGCGCCCGCCTACCCGGCGGTGCGCGGCTCGACCGTGCCCCGTCCCTCCCTCCCTCCCCCTTGCCGCCCCGCGGCTCGTGCCTTGCGGCGTCCCGCCGCCGCCGCTCCGTGCCCTCCGCCTGGCACCTGCGCGGCGCCTGACCCCTGCACCCCACGCCCAGTCGGGCCGGAGGCGCGGGCCCGGGCCGCAGTTTTGCGCGCCAAGGTGCGCCCAGTGCTCTCCACCTTGACCGCGGTGAGCGCCCTTGTCCTCCCCACCGCGGCCAACCCTGTCCTAGGGGGCAGCCTTTTGTACTTCCGTCGCTGTGCACCTGCCAGGTGTTCCCCCTCGCACGCCCCCCCTGCCCGCTTGGGCTGGGGGCGCTGGCTTCGGCCGCAGTAAGGCCTTCCAAGGCGCGCCCGCTGCTGTCTACTTGACGGCGGTGGTCACCCTTGTTCCCACGCGGCCCACCTTGTCCACCCGTGCAGGGGTGCCATCTCTCTTTCTCCTTCTCTCTCTCTCTCACTTATACCGCCGTGCACCTGTTCGGTGACCCCCCCCGCCTGCCCCGCCCTTGCTCGCTGGAGTGGGTGCGCTGGCTTCGGCCACAGCCTTGGCCGGCCAAGGCGCGCGCCCGCTGCCGTCTACCTTGACGATGGTGGCCGCCCTTGTCCCCCATCGGCCCACCCTGTCCACCCGGGTAGAGGGGCCACCTCTCACTTACACATCGCCACGCACCGGCTAGGTGCTGCCCTTCCCTCGCCCCCCGCTTTGAGGACCGACTCTGCCGCCCTTCCGCCCTCTGGGCGCCGCTGCCGGCTGCCGGCTGCCAGCTCCTCCGGCCGCCCCGCTTGCGCCGGGCCCACCCTGCCCACCCAGTCAGCGTGAGCCTCTCCGAAGCCCCCGCTGGGCGCAGGCAGGGTGTTTTCTCCCCGGTGCAGCCC